AAAGAAAGAAAGAAAGAAAGAAAGAAAGAAAGAAAGAAAGAAAGAAAGAAAGAAAGAAAGAAAGAAAGAAAGAAAGAAGTACAATATTGAAAGAAACAAAAAGTTAAGATATTGCATTTTGACACAACTTGTGCAGATTTAAGGATCAAATCCCCATATACGAGACTGAAAAATGTACACTAATTTAAGAATAAATTAATGCCCATTTTCTTCATTTCAAGCTTATCTTGTTTAGAGAAAACGAAACAAACTGGCAAATAATGGAGTTTTCATCGCAGCAACTCACTTTACAGTCTAAAATCCTGTTTCCAACATAACTCCGGACAGTTCTTTAGGGCTGAAGCATCCCTCTCCAAAAATTCATCTTGGGTCTAAGACAACCCAGGGCCAGATCCTCAGCTAGTGTATATTGGCAGAGATCCACTGAAATCAATGGAACGAATACTGATTTACATCAACTGAAGCGTTTCACCAAGCATGGAAATGAAGTAAAAACCAATTCTGTCATCTTGCGGGGTTGGGGAATTGTTTGGTTTTGTTTTAAGTGAGTGGAGGTGGAAAGCTAAAACCACACCACACCACTTTTCCTGTTTTTCAAAAAAAAAGTATTTGTTATTTGTTGGTACACAGGTAAACTGCTGAACTCACATTTCAGACTTCGATTTTAATCAGAGTCAAATTTCCTGTCAGACTGAAAAAGGTATTTTAAAATAAAATACGCATATGAGAATGTGTATCGGTGCACATACTCTCAAGTAACTGTTCCACCGTGAGCTATAAGGAACTGCAACTATGGCTGGCTTGGCATAGCACAACAGGGCTGCAATCTAGATTGAGGCCTGTGGGCACTATGCAATATAAAATTATAATTAACATTCAACACAAAGTCTTCACAAGGGTTTAACTGCATGGTTACTGGCAACACTACCAAGTTGATTAACCCACCAGTGCCCAACCCCATAGTGGCACACCCAGCAGATAATCTCCCTCTGCACACAGGCACAGATAGACCTGCTCCTTGGACATGCACACCACCAATCCACTGCCATATCACACCAATACTCACACGGTTCACCTTGTGCTGCTCATGCTGCACAAAGTGAACCTAAGACAGCCAGAATGGCAGCTACAGAATTCCCTTTGTTTTAGGGGAATCTCCACAGGCATGAAGTCGGTAGAGGCAGTTCCATCATCTCGTAGGTGTGAAAAATAAACCTCCCACAACACCCAGTTCTCCACTGACATCAGATTGCTGAGGATCCTTCCGTGTTAAGTTAATACTGCGGGGGGGGGGGGAGGGAAAGAGAGGAGACACAATAGGACTTTAAATTGAGCTAGAGCCAGGTAACTGAAAATCAGGGAGCTGGAGCTGGCTCCCTGATGCCACCCACACTCTCAGTCAAGACTCAAACATTAGAACAGGGGCATCCCTACAGCTTAGAGAACAGAAGCCAAAGTTTATGTACACATACTCCATGTCAGCAATGAAGGATTGCAAACACACCATTCAGCCTTGTGGAAACAGACCGTCATCATGGCATATTTTATTACTGTCAAGAGACCCCAAATCCTACGCATCCACACACAAGCTACATTTAGATCCTAAACAGACAGATTCTCTGCATGCCCTTGCTGAATCTCTACTATGCACACATTCAGATCTCCTCTCAGACTAGGGTGACCAGACAGCAAATGTGAAAAATCGGGACAGGGAGTGGGGGTAATAGGAGCCTATATAAGAAAAAGACCCAAAAACCGGGACTGTCCCTATAAAATTGGGACATCTGGTCACCCTATCTCAGACACCTAATGAGAGAGACACAGACAGACACCTTGCACAAATGTATACTTGCACACGCCATTGGTTTCCTCTCTCTTGTTCTAAGTTAGTACACATTACTACTACATGTTACACACATATTTAAGAAGTTGCACGAAAGAAATACTATGCAATATATTGCTATTTCTATTTCTCAAAAAGGCAGATTTATGGTGAGAACCTGTAGAACTCCTTGCCAGAGGATGTTGTGAAGGCCAAGACTAACAGAGTTCAAAAAAGAACTAGATAAGTTCATGGAGGATAGGTACATCAATAGTTATTAGCAAGGATGGGCAAGGATGGTGTCCCTAGCCTCTGTTTGCCAGAAGCTGGGAATGGGCAACAGGGGATGGATCACTTGATGATTACCTGTTCTATTCACAAAGAGAACAGGAATACTTGTGGCACCTTAGAGACTAACAAATTTATTAGAGCATAAGCTTTCGTGGGCTACATCCCACTTCTTCGGATGCATAAGCTGCTCTAATAAATTTATTAGTCTCTAAGGTGCCACAAGTACTCCTGTTCTCTTTGCGGATACAGATTAACACGGCTGCTACCCTGAAACCTGTTCTATTCATTCCCTCTGGGGCACCTGGCATTGGCCACTGTTGAAAGACAGGATACTGGGTTAGATGGACCTTTGGTCTGACCCAGTATGGCCATTCTTATGTGAGCAGTCAATCTTAACTGCATTTCCTGATGTGTGTGAGCTTAACTATGAATCCATAGCATTGCAGTAGTGTGTATTTTTGCATCAAATAAGAGAAATAATAAGCGAGAGCTACAGTTTATAAGTAGACATGGGGGTGTGGGAGGGGAGGAAATCACATCTTGGACATAAAAATCTAAACAAGATCTTATAAAGCTACTTATGTAGGTATCAGCCATCCATATTAACACAAACCGAAAGAAAAAAAAAAAGCTTCTCATACTGAATTGATGTTTTGTTTGCTGAAAAGATCAGGATTTATTTTAAAAATCAATCTTCGACTTCAGCAAGGCCTTTTGACCATCTTTAACTATGTATAAGCATTATGAATCATCACACAGAATCGTAGGACTGCAAGGGATCTCGAGAGGTCTTCTAGTGAATGTCTGTTAAAAGCATCCTCCTTTTAAAATGCACAATGCTTGAGGTTTAATTACTTGTCAACCAATAACCTGCTTCAGTAATGATTTCTGGAACTACATTACCTTCACCCAAGTCCCAAATTTCAACAGACAACAGGAGGTACGGTACACGAAGTTCGAGTTCGGTGTGATTTCAGAATGGCCTGCTATCATTGCTGTTAAACAGCGTTTTGGGCGGGGGGGG